AAAATAATATTTTTTTAAAATTACAAGACTAAAAATAATAATTTTAAATTTGAGAGACTAAAAATAAATTTATCCTAAATTTGAATGACTAAAAATATATTTAAACCTTAATGATATTACTCATAAATTAATAAATAATATTTTCAAGCAAGATTTGATGATAGTTATTCAATAAATATATTTACTTTTAGTTTTTGTTTCTCCAATTTAAACCCTGCAATTTTGGATTTCAATTATATTTTTTTAGTTAAATTAAGTTTTAATTTTTTAAATAAATAAATCTAGTCTATAATAACCTTTTCTATTTCGAAACTCAATTTTTTTTTTTCTGTTTACTCCACATGTTTATATATTTGAATTAATTACATTGTTTTAATTTTTTATACTTAAAACTCACTAACTAAAATATCAAATTTATTTAAAAAAAATCTCAAATTATTTAAAATATAACTTTTAATATAATTATTCTAAAAATTAACAAATTTATCAAATATAAAATCGCCATATTGGAAGAGTATAAAGAGTGTTTAATCTACATAAATATTAATATTTTTTAACTCGACTTCAACGTAATTATATAGGGTTTCCTTTTTAAAAGAAGAAAGTAAAGTCATAAAAAAAATGCAAAAAAAAAAAAAAAAAAAAAAAAAAAAAAAAAAAAAACAAGAACAAGCTCAGAAACGAGGCTTTTTGACCAAAGTGAGGTCGTTGACCAAGTTATTTACGTAAATAGGGCTGTTTTGAATTTATTTACGCCTTTGGGGCTGTTTACAATGATGTCGCTATGGGCCATAGCGACACCGTTGCCACGTAGCCTTTTTTACACTTCAAGAAAGCCATGAAAGCAATATTAATAATGTCGCTACAACCTACAGCGCCACAAAACAGCTAGAATAAAGTCGCTGTAGCCTAAAGCGACACATATATAAAAAAACATTTATTTTTAATAATTAAAAAGTGGTAAAAAACAAATTATTTAATAATTTTTATAAAAAAAATAGAAATATAGTGACGCTGTAGGCTACAGCGTCCCCTTTTTTAAAAAAAATCAGATATATAAAATGTGATAAAAAAGAATTAAAAAACGTAAATACAAAAATAAAAATGTATAAAATAAACTGTAACTTACAGATAATATCACTTGATTTGAGTTAAGATTAAATTTGTTGTGAATCCTTCTCTTTAATATATCCAAAGTGATACCTCGTTTAATATACATTCCTTTTTTTGGTCCATCAAATGTTACACCTTCAGCACCTTCATACATCTTTCCAGTGTAAATATAAGCAATCATTTGATCCATAATATCTGCAACAACAAAAAATTAATTAGTGCAAATACCTACAATTTATATCTTAAAAAAAACAAAATTATACTCACCGAATCAGAAACAAACGTAACTAGCTCAGAGATTTAAATCAACCAAAACGTAACTAATAAGTATATGATTTCAACTGTGAAAAAAACGTAGCTAGGGGGGTATATATAGTGATATTGTCGCTGTGGGCCACAGCGACACTAAGAGTCGCTGTAGGCCACAGCGCCTATTTAAAATTATTTAAAGGACAAAAATATATATACAAAAACAATATAAATTATAGAAAAAATAAACTTTATAATTACAAATTAATATTTAAGTGCTAAATATAAATTAAACAAATTTCCAAACAAAATAAGTTAATAACTAAAAAAAATTAATTAATTAGTGGCGCTGTGGGCCACAGCGACTCTGTGTCGCTATAGGCCACATCGCCACTTAAATAAATAATTAAATCTATTTTTTAAAATTACGTTTTTAAATAATTTTTTTTATTTATAAATATATAATAAGTATACTCAGTTGATTATTTTAAGGTTACATTTAAATTATTTCAATTTTTTTCGTTTTTTTTCTTAAATGGTGTCGCTATGGGCTACACCAGCTTTGTTGGCTCACAAACTGTGTTGGTCCAGCCCATAGCGACACTGTTGTGGCTCATTCCAGCCATCCGTCCGCCAAAAAAAAAAAGTCACGTGGCATTGGTGTCGCAATGGCCCATAGCGACACCGTTGTAAACAACCCCAAAGGTGTAAATAAATTCAGAACAGCCCCATTTACGTAAATAATTTGGTCAACGACCCCACTTCGGTCAAAAACCCCATAAACGAAAAGATATAGAAGTGCGGTGAGCGTGGATCGAACACGCGACCTTCAGATCTTCAGTCTGACGCTCTCCCAACTGAGCTATCCCCGCAACTTGTTAAAGTGAATTTTAACATTTTATATATACATTTCATTAACATACATTCCGTTAATTTTTACAAAGTAAAATTTTACTTCCTTTATCTCTCTGTATTAAATTTATAATAAATAATTTATATTATGATGTAAAGTTATTTTTAATTATTTATATTATAATAATTATTTAAATTTGATTTCAAAATAAAGATAAAAAAAGATATATTGAGATAAATATGAGGATAAAAAACCTCTTAAAACACCTTTATTGAAAAAAAATCCTAAAAACTCAATAATTAAATAATAATTTATAAAATATAAATATTCCATATTTAAAAAATATTTGATTTATAGTTTAAAAGAGTTTTTATCTATTGTTTTTAGTCTTAGATTTGCCTAATATAACCCCCTCCCCCTTTTTTCTTTGAACTTCTTATTTTATTTTTTATTTTGTCAATAATGCGCTATGTATCCACTTTTGTCTTTATAATTACCAGCTAAATCATGATATGTTCTTTACATAATGATATACTCTAATTGTTTAAAGAATGCAAATGGAATGTCATCTTCAATTCCCATGTTCAATAAAATTTCAATTGTACATTCATAATGAATTTATGACAATAAATTGTTATAGTCGTTCTTGGGGTTTGAATGGTATATATAAAGTTTTTCAGTTTTAGGTTTAAATATTGTTATTTATATTAAAAATTTGTTATTATTAAGTATAAAAATTAACGAGTTTATGACTTTTTAAACAATTTTTTATTCTCTTGAATTCATATGTAATCTTTTATAGTTTCTTAATTATTTCAAAAATATTCTTTTAATCTTTGTAATTTAAAAATAGTATATTTTAGTTATTTTGTCCGATGATTTGCCTCACAAAAATTATTTATTAATATTATTATTTTAAAAAAACATTACATTAAATTTAACTATTCTTGCATAGTTGACTCAATTTTGTTTATATAGGTGGTCAGATGATTAAACTGAGTTTGTTTGTTTATTATTTCTTTTAAAGACAGAAACTAAAAATATACTTTAAAAATTTGGAAAACAAAAAAACTAAACCCAAATTAAGTTATGAAATTACTTATGAACATAAAAGAAAGACTAATTTTTAATTTGATTCCTCTCGTATTCAATTTGTGATTTTGATTCCTAATTTATATTTTTTAAAATTTAATTCTTCAAACTTATAAAATGAATTTTGATCATTCTACTCACTGACTATTAAAATTGTATAAAATAAATATGAACTTGTGTTCAAAAATATTTAAGTTAAATTATATTTTTAATCATTATTTTTATTTCATAAAATTAATTAAAAATAAAAAAGAATAAAATGAACTTATAGTGTAATTTAACTTAAATATTATTTCATATTAATTGTCATGTTATTTATTTAAAATTATAATCAACATTATAATTTTAATAATTAATAAATATATATTTTAATAGTGGAACTAAAATTATAAATTTTATAAAATTAAAGCTAAAATTATAAAATTAAAATAATAATTTCAAAATTACGAACCAAAAGTTACAGTTAGCATAAAAGCAACAACCTGAACAAAAAATCTCAGAAAGGGACTTCTGTTTTCCTGTGATTGAAAGAGTTTGTTTTATTCTAAACTGGTACGTGTAAGCAACAAGGTCCCGTAGCTCAGTTGGTTAGAGCGTTGGTCTTATGAGCCGAAGGTCGCGGGTTCGAGCCCCGCCGGGACCATTCCTAAACTATCTCCTGTTTTACGACGGCGACGCCCAAAACCTCCTCCCCTTCTCGTTTTTTTATTTTTTTTTCATCTCTCTTTATCCTCGTTGATCTCGTCGTCGTTCAGATCGTTGTGGCATTGTTCGTCGTAACTTTCCGTAACAGCGGCCTTTTCGTAAATCTGGTTGTATGTGGTTTTGTTTGTTGAATCTGCATTGGTTGGACAGATTTGAATGTGTGGGTGTTGCTCATAGAGGTGGCACAATGGATAGCGATCCCATCATTCATTTCAATCTGTCAAAATATGTGATCAAATGATGGGTCTCGTCTCGTCACAGCCTGTCAATCCCCATAAATAATTGGATTTCAATAGACTTTATTAATTCATTTATGAATTATTAATAAATTTAGATTATTAATAGTTAGTAAGTTTGTAATTTAATTTTAATTTTATTATAAATAGATTAGTTTTTATTTAATTTTGTTGTAAGTTTGTAATTTATTTCTATGAAACATATATTATTATAATATATATGAATTTTTAATTTTATGTAATTATATTTATTTATTTGTAACAGTTTTTTAAGTTAGACATAAGACATTTATTTTGCAGTTTTTTTAATAATTTTATATAATTTTTTTTTTAGTAGTTGTCGGCTGACCCGTCACCTCCTTGTTGCTTATCTGAGTGCGGAATGGTTACCGCGCAGAAGAGAAGGTGAAGAGAAAAAAGAAGAGAGAGAGAGAGAGAGACGGGGTAAAATGGGGAAAAGAAATAAAATAAAAAGTTTCAATTTACAAATAAGCAAATCTAACGGTCCTATATTTGTTTCCGGAGATGTGTTGGTCTCCCAGCGTCCTCAATAGAGAAGCTAACTCATGTGCCCACTATGTTCCTCAGACCAGCCTCCCTCTCCCAACTTGTATCTTAAAGAACGCGGGAAACCTAACTTCAAATCACTGTCAAGAGCCTTTAACTACCCAAAAGCAAGCCTTGGGAAGAATGGGTTCTTGATAATGGGCTTAAGAAATCTTTGCATTTGTCCATGATATCAACACAAACAATTGAAACAGAGAATCAAACATGGAATTTAGCACTTTAAAGGAAAGTTGTCAACGACAATCACAATTTTCACATTTACTGTTGAGGATTTTATAATGTTAAGCTATATTGCAGTCAAAATATAACAATAAAATCACAATAGGAAGAAAAGAACAGTTCAAGGTTGCAACATTTATCCTCCTCCCTTCGATCTTATTCCTCCTTCTTGCTTGGTACAGACTAAAGACTTGTATCCATCCAAACACCACCTCTGCTTTATGCTTTAGACATGATGCAATCAATAGCCTGTTTGCAGATGCCGGTCATTGTAGCCTCCGGCCCATAAACCTGGAACCACAAGATTACCACAATCACACAACAAAATAAAATAAAATAAAAATTGTATTTCAATAGTACTGTTATATCATATGTTTTAAGAAAAGATAGAGAACTCTCCACACAAGACTCTAATGCAGACACTCCTTTCACCCTTAAAATCCCCAGGCTTACTGCCAAAGCCTTAATTTACATTTTAAACCGTAAGTTGCAAGATTTCTCAATTTACATTTACACCATTTACTAGTATAGTTTTTGACTACGAACCAAAAAGCATTTTGTAACTACTCATTGGTCCCGGATTCTGATAACAATAAGGTGCTGATCAGTGGTCAGCAGTTGAGCATATTTATGGCACATTTAATAGCAAGATCCCTAGAAAGTTGTCATCCTACCTGAATTGGTACTCCCAATTCCTCCCCCAATGCACGCATCTTTGCCAAACCAGTCTGATAGTTTGGACCACCTCTTCTGACATAGATGTGCATTCGCGCTGCTTTAAGTTTTGATTCCTGTAGAGTGACAGGGAAATTAACTCGTAACTGGCAAATTAAACTACTTGAAGCGGATTAACAATACAATGAACAATAATATACCTTTTCTTTCAGGGCTCGAATAATCCCGCTAAATGTGGCAGCAACATCAGTGAAGTTTGCAATGCCACCTCCAATAAGAAGGGCTCTCTTACGGCCATCAGGATCCGCAGTAGCACACTGCAACACAGTCATCAGCACAATTTTCACAAACAATGCAGTGTAGTGATAAAACCACTTGCTATGACTAATTAGTGAAATTTAAGCCACAAACAATTTTTTTAAAAAATCAATTGGATATGATCTATACATCAATTACGACTCTCGCATACTGCAACACCTCCTCCTCATTTGGAGCTCCACTATACTCAGCATAGTTGCCAAGCTCTGATGCATAGCCTAAATCTCCAACCTTATAAACAAAAGTTGCATTAGGTCACCAAAAGGCCTACTAAAAGAAAACTTTCCAGTAATCATCACTATGATGAGGTGACCCTTTATTCACTTTTTTAGCTTGAATTGAAATAATTCCATAGAAACATGGAAACCTACAGTATCAGCATAAATTACGCTTGCACCGCCTCCTGCTACCATTGTCCAGATGCGTCCTTTTGGATTCAATACAGTAAATTTCAATGATGCACTTGTCTGCAATATGAAAAAAAATATATTTTAGGGATCTCTAATACAGAGAAAAGTTCCTTTTGCAATTATTAAAATAAGTACGAATTTTACAAAAAACTGAGGTGTAATTTATCTAGGTTACAAATAGCTAATTGCCTAATATCTGGGCTACCATTTATTGAAGCAAGATTTATCATGAGGTTGGATAACTATTTTCCCAATTTCATCAGAATGACGATGGAAAATGCTTAAAATTCTGATAACATTCTTCAAATTTTAAGGATTTTCCCAGCACTCACTGTGCAAAAGTGCCTTATATTGTACATTGTTCTGGAGGTGCTCCAAAATCATCTTTAGCAGAACTAATTTAAGTAAAGCCCATGTAAAATAAACTGGCAAAAAGAAGTGTTAAAAAAGCTTGTTTTCAGCAAATTATAAAAGCATAAGTCAATTTCACAGAAAAAAGAGCTTTCCTTATTTTTATAATAATATCAAAGAAATTTTACAGATAAAAATAAAAAATACCTTATCATCCAAGGAATGAATAAAGCTTTCTGTAGGGCTCAGAACTCTTCCGAAAGGCAACGGAAACTCTATATTACCCCACCTGAAAGCATATATACATTGGATAACAACTAGTTACATGCATTAGATGCTAAATTTCCATTGCTTGAAAATTAAAATATTCTGAACAAAATATTAAAGGATTATATTATACTTGTTGAAGTTCTTGAATGCAGCAGTGTCATCCAATTCCCCTCTCATATCCAATGGATATGGCTTTTCATTCACCAGTGTAAATGGATTCATCTCTAGAAAACTGAAGTCCAGATCTATGAACAAATGGGAGGAAAAAAAATGTTAGACTTGAAAATTGGCATGGCTAATGAGAGAAATAGTACACAAAAGAATCTTATCCTGCACAAAATGGACTATTTAGTATTTCCCCATAGTTTTTTATTGAAAAGAGGCAAACAATATTCATAACCCTGTTTTAACCAGAACCTGAACAATTTGGCAAGTACTCAAAATCACATACTAAAGTTCTAAAGCATTTCCGAATTCTAGATTCCGGAGTTCATATCATGCTTCAGATTCTAAATACACTAATTCTCAAGCTTGTGAATTGCATACCTTGGAAGACAGCAAACACACCCATTATGAAATGACCAATTTTCCCGCGAATCTGCAAATTAGAGGTAAAATAAAGTAACAGAAGTAAAACGTTGTGAATATAGATAGACACGCGTTATCCTAAAAATGCAGAAGTTCAAACTCTCAGAAATCTCGATAATGATAGGTAAAAATGGTTAGCTCCAAACGGCATTAAGCACGTCCAGATGATGCAGTCACATAAAGTACCATCTTTTCACAAAATGCAAAGTCTAAGCTATTCACATTTGATTAGACATGAAGGTAGAGCTTGTTTGGATATGAACTTAGAAGAGCTTTTGAAAACTTTTCTATTAAAAATAAATAGGTTTTTTTGGATAGAGAATCTCTCAAAAAACTTTTCTAAGCTTGTAAGTTGTATTCAATCAGGCTCTTATGTGAGAGCGGTTCTTTAGACCATTAATTTTTTGC